TGCCCTCCCAAGTTCAGTCAGCACCTTGCTGCAATCAGTGATGGCTGTGAAATCCTCTACTGTGTTCAGTCTGGACTGTTCACAGGTGGAGAGCTCAAACCAATTCGTCTGCCTCCATTCACAAAACGTCCACTTATCAGCATGCAAGCCACCAACACAGTGATGGTGATGACTGAAGGAGAAAACAGCTGGGTGAGAGTGGGCCAGACCAAGAAGTGGAAACTTGCCAAAACAGAAGAAATCCAGGAAATTGTTCAAGGCCTTAACCCTGAACTCAGTCAAATGTCTAATGGAGAAAAGGCAGGTGTAGTTTTTGGTGTGATGGGTGTGATTCTGATGGTGGCCATAGTGGGAGTGGTCCTATTCAAGAGGAGGAGGAGGAGGATGTCAGGGTTTAGAAGTAGAGGTTATGAGGAAATACGTGAAGAAGTTGAGAGGGAGTCACAGGAAGATGAGGCTCCTGAGCAGAACACAACTTAGAAGCTTAATCACTCACATAGAGAAATGAAACCGGTGTGGCAGGTTTAGCTTTGAACTTCTCTTTTGATTGTCTCCACATTCATGCTTCCTACAGCACTGGAAAATATTTACATTTAAGAGCTTCTATTTTGAATCAGTCTTTGCATTACTTTAGTTTATTATGCTCCACATTTTGTACTTAAACCTGTAGACTATTAACATATATGCAGGGAGAAATGACTTTGTAGCAGTCTGCCTCTGAAATCACCAGATGGAGCCATCAAAAAGGGAAAGCAGGGGTGATTTTTATACTAAGGCCCAAGATGCATAAGATCATGCTGTAAAATTTTTTTGTAAATATCTAAGCACTGTATGCATGACTTTGTTTGCAAATACTTTCAAGAAAAACATGTATAATAAATAATCTGAGAAGGGTTTTCATTTTTTCCACAATATATTCTAATAAACAATCAAAGAAAAAGAGTTTTCTGTTTTGTGTAGTTTCTTGCACACCTTTTCTGTTATGTATCTTAAGCTGATTAAAATGAAAACTGTTTTTATTGTGCACATTACTAATATTATGCATTGTATGCTTCTAGCCCTGTAGAGGCCCAGAATGAAAGCGGCTATGAAAGTTTGTATTTCTTTTACATGACACCCCTTATGGCAGAGTTTTTAAAAACACTTACAATTACAATAAAATACAATCTGCGCCAAATTCAAGACTTTCTCTGTAAGTCGATAGCGGCACAGAGAAGATTGTGCTATGGAGATCACATCATCATCAGTC